AAGATTCTCTGTGCCTCATTATACCCAGATGTTCGATGGGGAAACTAACATTTACCTTGCAGTTCTATAAAAATTACAAATTAACAATGACTGACACGAAGTAGCAGGAAAAGCAGGTAGAATAATAGTTAATAATTAATGTTTACTCAGTGCTTAGTGTGAGCCCAGCACTGATCTAAGTACTTTACACGTAGTACTTTTAAGCCTCACAACAATCTTATGAAGTAGGTATTACTATTATCCCCATTTTATAGATAAGGAGTCCAAAGCCCAGGGCCAATCCACCTCCAGCTTCCTACTCCATTTTCTTCACTTCTGCTTAAATGCTGTCCTTGGGGACATGTGAAAGCAGTAAATTTGACAGAGTTCATTTCTAATTTATTTCAGACTACAGTCTTTATTGTGTTTGCCTCTACCCCAGCCTATATTTTGTTTAACGCAGGAAAGGTGAATCGGTTTAACATGTATCTATAATGATAAAATCATCACTAATAAAAATATTAAGAGCTACCATTTATTGCATACTTCCTATGCATGCAATTTGCACATATAATTGCTAACACTTGTACGTGTTAGACACACTCAAAGAGGTAATTTTGAAAAAAGCTGACCTCTATACTAGTCTTCTGAACAACATGGTCCATATGAAACGTACCCTTTGGCACCCAAGACACAGGGCAGTGCCTTCTGAAATTGCTGACTTATGCGTACACACCCTCTCTCCAGCTTGATCCTTAGTTCCGAGAAGGTAGGACCATGTCTTAATTGTCTGTGCAGGCCTTTAAGTTCAGTGTAGTAATGTAGCTGTAGCAGAACTACATTACGTTTAGTGTTTGATAGGAATCCAAACCTATACTCATCAGGAAGGAAAAGAACTCCTACTGAGTACCCTCCATCAGCCAAGGGAGGTCAAGAAATGTTGACATATATTACCATATTTATCATCAAGAACTCACCTGACTTCTACCGAAGAGGAAACTGAGGCTCAGCAAAATTAACTACTCAAAGTGTTACACAGTGGTGAAGGGATTTCAATCTAGGTCTGTCTTAAGTGTCAGAGATGCTGGAGAACATAGTAGTTGAATTCACACTTCAAAAAGTGTGCAGATGATGTGTGTGGCTGTAGAAAGTTGTGGTGTTATGTGCACTCCTGAGCTCTTCAAAATGCACGTGTGTGACAGATTGTTTACAATGTCCCACCCTCTCTGCCCCCCATTTTCTCTGAAAAAATATATTACTGTGGTTAAAGTATATAATTAACATACACTAATGAGACTCTACTAGGAACAATAGTGTCAGAGAGGTACAACCTTGTATACACAGTAATGAGATGTGTTTTTATTAAGGGGAAAAAACAGAGCAGTTATATCCTAAAGTAAAATGACTGGTTGTTCTGGAATAAGAAGGAGGGCAGTACAGGACAAAACCTGAGTGGATAAATTTGTAGAAGTTTGTGGAAAGGGAATTTGATTTGCCTTGGATTATTACAGTATGTACAAATAATGAGTCTGAAAAGAAGCAATTGTGTGCTAAAATTTTGCAACAGCTGTCTTAGTTTCGATTAGTTTACTCATATTATTTTCAAAAAGAGGGCCCCTAGCAAAATCACAAATATTTGTGAGGTGCTAGAAATAATTAGGTTTATTTGATATATTATTATTGATCAATTATATGGGAATAATGGTCAAATCAGAATGGATACTCAACCTTCTCTAGGTTAAATTTATATAAGTAAAATCTTATTATTTATATAGATATTTCATAACTTATATGATGTATGAGAAGTTCCACACATTTCTCAATGCCTTTTCAGTCCATGATCTGATTCTATTTATTAGCATCTGGCGGTAATTTGCCTAATGACAAAGTATAGTGTTACTAGTCATGATCTCAGTTATGATTTGAACCATTACCTGGGCTGCAACTTTACTTCTTTAATTTGAATCTAGCATCTTCCAGACTATTGGTTTTCAACTGGGAATGTACATTAGACTTTCCTATGGAGTTTTGTTAAAATACAGTTGTTTAGGACTTGCTGCAGATTTATTGGATCTCTTTAGCTCATATTCTTGGTATATTCTTGGTATATTATATAAATTATATGTCAGGATTTTTATACGTTATATCTTAAGATTTTTCCTTCTGTGAAAATTATGTTCATCCATTTTTATAAATTGATGTAATGTCCACCGTCTTCTTTGAAATTAGCCTTATTACGTTTTTAGACATGGTCTAGATTGTTTTTTGTTTGGATTGGCTTCTTCTTGTTTTGCATACCAAAGGAACAACCAAATTTCCTTTGGTTGCATTATTCTTGTCATGAATTCTCATCAGATTGTTCACTTTTGAAAATTGTAAGTTAACCAGCACTTCTTAAGTTTCTGCCACCTACATATAGTTTTTGTTTTTCTCTGATGCTTTCTAAAGGTTCAGCAATCAGCTGTAGGCCCAGGTTTTTACCTTTTAAACAAGAACTGTCTCAGGACAGCACTGTGCTGAGTACTTACTCTTGAATACAGGCTTCCGATGGTACTACTTAGATAACTTTAAGAACATGCCAGTGGACTGAGTCAGGAGTTCCAGAACTCTGTAGTCAAGAAGCATACTAAAGCAGGGGTTTTAAGATTACTAGCCCCAGATCCAGTGGAACAGAATTAATCATATAGGACTGAATGAGCTATTAAGAGATGACTGTCATTTATATTTGGAATACTGTTGATGTTGTTATAGTGTTCTCTTTCCTGGATATGTAAGTAAGACCTTTCTCTTTCTTCTTAGTCTATCTGTAGCCAGTAATAATTTAATAGACTCTGCTTTTATAAACTGAAATGAAACATTTATACATATCTTATTCTCTCTACCTGACTCCTCAGAATTCAGAGACTGTTATTGAGCCTTCTTGCTTTTCATGGCAATACAAATGTGTGCGTAAGTTTGATAAGAATCTGTCCTCTTTTTTACTAGTACATAATTAGAAAAATTGATTATGCAACCAAGGCTTTACCTGGAATGTTGTACTTGACAAGGATGCCCATTTAATTAGATATAACCAGTCCCTTTTAAGGAACTAAGTTTCCCTGTATGGAGCCAATACTAACAAAACCCTCCCAAGAAAACTGGCTTACTGGGTTCCCTGCCCTCCCTGGTTAGCCCAGGAACCTTAGGATATTTGGGGGAACTTGAAAAGAGAGGAATTTCCCCAAATTTATAGGCATAGCAGGTAAAACCTGGTGGAGACAGTTTCTTGTCTCGGCTTCCTAATCTCAGCACAATAAATAATTAAAGGCTTTTAAAAGTCTAATCTAGGATTCCTTATGAAAACTTCCTGCAAACTTAACAAGGCCTATTCGGTGAATTAACACTCTTGCTGTATCTATGTAATCAGATCAGATCTATGATACCAGCTTTATTTTGTGATCAAGAATAAACTTTCTTGGAGACTTTTTTTTTTTTTCTTAATCAAAACGGGAGACTGTAGGAAAAAAAAATCAGTGTTTCAGTGGAAACCCTATGCATTATCTAGAGGATACCTCTCCAGGTTATCTGATTGTTGCCTTTCACTTATCTGATTGTAGCCTTTCATTGACCTTGAGTTATTTTACGATTCTTTGAAATGGTAGGTAACCGATAAGTCATGCAAAACACGTCTATAAATGATAGTTTCGGTAGTCTTCCTTCCCAACCTGTGGGAAAACCATTGTGACCTCAATATTTCTTATCTATAAATGGGTATGTTCTTTGGATTCTCTCTCTTTCTTCTTCTAATTGTGGTAAAATATAAATAACATAAAATTTACCATTTTAATCATTTTTAAGTTACAGTTCAATGGTATTAAGTATATTCACACTGTTGTGCAACCATCACCACCATCCATCTCCAGAACTTTTTTTATCTTCCCAAACTGAAACTGTCCCCATTAGATACTATTTCTCTCTCCCCTTCTCTGGATTCTCTTTTGAACCAATTATAACAGCTTCTGACGCCTTCATTATGAGTAAATTAAATCTTTAACACATATTCATTTTTATATTCTTACGAGAGTCATGATTTTAATCTTTTTCTGAAAAATACCTTTTAACAGTTCCAGACTCAGAAAGGACCAGGTAAGTAATCTAAATGAGTGAAGAAGGTAGGAAGTAATGAGGACTGTCACCAATTGGAAAGTGCCTAGGGTGACCAACTGTCCTGATTTGCCCAGGACTGAGAGGGTTGGTGATGAAAAACTTTCTGTTTTAAAACCAGGACAAGTTGGTCATCTTTAAACATCCATCCTATCTAAAGGGGACTCCTCAACTCCTATTAATTTAATTTGGAAATTTAGGTCTGGTATCACCACATCATCTGTTTTTGGCTATTTTTGTTAAATTTTATAATTTGTAAATGATGGCAACTAAAATAATATTAAAAAACACTTTGCAGACCAAGCACACTGCTCCAAACTCCAGCCTCTGATGAGGAGTGGCTGAAACCTCTCCAACCTCCGCACACAGCCCAGCATGCGGGCTGCTGGGGCCACGCGTGGTCAGGAGGAAACATTGCTGAGGTGGCCGCCCCGCTGTGGAGCAGCTCCAGCTCTGCTCTAAGGGGATGCCCTTTCCACGTATGTCTCTCAGGGCTTGGAACCCCTCCCTCAAGGCAAGCTGGCAGGACCACTGAGTTCTGGCCTCTATGTTACCCAAGGGCTAAAGAACAGAAGGGACGTTCAACGACTCTAGTTGCTATCTTTTCATTCCATCCCTCCCAGGCCCAGGTCCCCCAGATGCTCAGTGATGTGAAAGCGAAGCGCTCTCGAGTTACCCCGGCTGTGGGCGTGTTTGGAGGGAGGATGGCAAATGAGACTCTCGCAGGCAGCCTAACTTCACCAGCGGCACAGAGCCGGGAGATGCGGATTTAGGAGGGCGTGTGTGTTATCAACCTCCCAGGTTGTCGCTGCCGAGGACCCCCGGGCGGCACGGAGCCGCTGCGGGCCGGCGCGCCTCCCTCCCCGAGCCCGGCTCACCAACTGTCCCTGGAGAAGGCGCGGAGGAACCAGACTCCCGGAGCCAAGCGAGACCGCATCTTGCCCGACCGGCGCCCGAAGCTGAGTGGACGGAGGAGGGCGTGCGGAGCCGGATGCGTGTCCCTGGCGGGCTGTCGGCGGGATTTAAATACCCCGCCGGCCGGCCCGCCCCGGCCCCGGGCCTGAAGACGGGAGCCCCCGCCCCTTTGCACCTGACCGCCCTCGGGGTCGGGCCGAGCGCAAACCCACTGGCCATCCCCCGGCGGCGGTCGCCAGTTACTTGAGTATTCTCGTGCTTTGCCTCCTGGCCCTGAGTTTCTGGGGACTCCTGCACTGTCCGACTCACTACCCACCGCCGGGAAAGCGAGGAACAGAGGAACCGAAAGCAGCAACCCCAGACCTTGTCAGCTCTATGTGAAGTCCCCGCCTGCCGGCAGCTGTCGCCGCGAAGAGGCGCTGGCACAGACCGGGAAACTAGGGCACGCTGGAGGGCTAGAACTGACACCCAGTGGTACCCCCGTCACACGGGGCACCCCTGGGAGCTCAGAAGGTTTTTCAGGGAGGACAGGAAGCGGGACAGGAAGCCCCAAACACACCTCCCAGGCTCCAGCTGGGGCTTCCTGCCCCACTCAGATTCCAGACTCATACCCTACCACTCCCCCTCCACAGACACTGGCTTTCCCACCCACTCCCCGCAGTGACAGTGTCGCTATCACTCTTGCTCTCCCTTCTGGGGGCAAGCAGCCAGGTGGCAGTGAAGGGCCAGTCTGAGGCTACCAGGAAGGGACTTCTGTGCTCTTGAAAGTGACTGCCTCTAGCCTGAAGATTTCTGGGTATATTTCCACCTATAAAAAGAAGATATTATGAGAGCATGTATATGAACCCAAGGGTGAACTACAGAGGGATGGAAAGTGCAGTATTCACTTGGAGGATAAAGTTTTTATTAGAGCATAAAATAGGAATGTGGCTGTGCAAATGGGTTTCAGCCCTAACCCCGCCCTACTCCTAACTCCTAGGAGTGCCCAGGCCCTAAGAGCAAGGTCAAGGAAGTGGAGCAACAGCTCCACCAAACAGGAGTACCCAGAATAATAGCTCTGACTGGTACCAGCCCTGGAATCAAGCAGAAAGAGGGTAAGCAGAGTTGTAAAACCCTCTGTTAATGCCAAGCAATCAGGGGCATGGGTCCAGTGGCAGAAATGAAGATAGCAACAAGTCAAGGACAGGAGGTAAAGGAATAGAGAAGAAAGAAGAAAGGTGATAAAAAGGAGGAACGAAAGCCAGATGATGTAAAGTACGGAGAGCTGAAACACCAAAGGAGGAGTGTGGACAACAGCAGCTCACTTAGTCAAATCCTTAATTATATCACATACTGTGCCTAGGTGTACATTAACTTAATTTGGGGGGAGAGGGGAAGGAGCAGCTGGCCAGTACAGGGAATGTGCATTAATTTAATTCTTACAAGTCAGTTAGGTGGGCGTGATCCATGTGGGTAGGGTGACTTTATGTCCTGGTTTGCCTGGGACAATCCCAGGAGACATCTGCTGTCCCAGGATGTACGATGGACCAGTTTTGAGGTCAGTAACCACAGGTACCCCAGGTTAAGGGATAGAAAATAAACTAGAAGAATAACTAAAGGAATGAGCTGATATCCCCAGGAAGACAGCTACTTGTTTCTAGAGGACTAAAGGGCAGGATAAAATTGGAATATGAACGAGCCAAGGAAGCAGCTGGAGTTAACTTGATGCTACACGGGAGGAGTAGGTGGACATCACCAGAGCTTCAGAGGTGCTATCCAGACTTCAGCAGTGGGAAATATCTGTCTTTCCATTTCAGATAGAGAGAAGCCAAGGAATATGGCTCACTATTGGTCATTTTTCATGCCCCTCTGGAGAAGCTGCATTTGTGCCTCTCAGGAGACCATGCTTGCCTGGAGCTGGAACTCTCAAAGAGGCATTAAGAATATGCCCTCATGGTAGTATGGCTGTTATTCATGGTGTGCCAACAAGTAGCTGGGAGCAGAGCAAGTCCTGAAATAGTCTTTGCCTTGTCCCATTACTTCCTGTGAATTCCAGCCACGTGTCCCAGTTCAGAGGCCAGGATGGTACCAATGTTGGAACCCTTCCTCACTTGCTCCTGCAGGTAAGCTGGATGATCTCTTTGCTTCCTGCTGCTTGGGAGAGTGAGAAAGAGGGATATTATGGCTCAGGTACTCCTTTCACTCACCCACACAACCTCTCCGCTCTTGACTCACCTTCCTGTTGTTATTTGGCACTCCTCCACACACCACCTTCTCACACACTGCAGCATGGGGGCAGTATCTGAAGGAGATAGGGAGGGAAGGGAGGAGCAACTGAATCAGACACTAAGGAAAAGATCCTCAGTTCTTATAGCCCTATAATTTGTCAAAATTGCTTACGATGGTTTAGTATCAGACACTTGTGAGAAAGGAGCTAGCAGTTAATGACCTTTTTACCCATTAAATACCAGTGCCTACCGCTAGCAAGTTTCACTGACCACCCACAGGACATTTTTGGTAGCCATTTAGCTGTTTAGGCCCTTTTAGATATAGCAATAAATGTCTTCTCTGGTTTTTTCAAAGAAACAAAAGAACTTGGATGTTTGAGGATGTCTGTGAGAACAAATGCCATGAGAATAAGCCACTAGGCAACAGAACCCCAAAATTTCATCACATACACAAACATTCTTTGAACACATTCCCCTCCTCCCACTTCTATCTTACTAAATAGAAAATAGCATAATTTTTTGTAACAGATTCAAGACCCAGACCCTTGATTGAGGAGATAGGAGTTGGGATATTACGAGAAATTATGATTATAAAGATTCAATTTCATATTAGGCCTTTGAATTGAGAGACAGAACAGTGTAATGAAAACAACATGGGCTTGGAGTCAGAGCTAAGTCTGGCTCAGATACTGACTACTTCTCTGAACCTCAGCCCCCTTGTCTGTGAAATGTGGATAATAATGCCTGCCTTGCAGGATGGCTGTAAGAATAAAAAATTATGCATATAAAAAGTGTAACAAGGCTTAGCCATATTAAGCTGGCTTGGGAAGTGGAGCAATTATGTGTGCATGAGCTTATTAGGTATAAGAACGAGATACTGACTACCACCGAGAGAAGTCAGTGCCATAATAAATGAAGACTGAATATAGAGGTAAAAGGATCAAAGCTCTTACAAAGAGTCAATGGGTATAACAGAATAGGTTTGACCTGAAAAATCCTAAATATCATGCATGTGCGTGTGTGTGTGTGTAAGTGTATACAACTTAACTCACTGAGTTATTGTAGGCACTGTGATAACACATGTTGAATAATTTGGGGTTGACAAGAACGTATGTATGGGTTGAGTAAAGTGTTATAAAAATGAAAGAAGCTATCATTGTCTTAAATATATCAGATGCTGAAATCTCACTAAGAGTCAGTATTAAATTCCTCTCAGCCAACACAGTCAAAAGATAGATAAGCAAAGTGACCATGCATCAAAAACTATTTTGTTTCAGACAATAAAAGCCAAAGTTCTGGAATGCTTGGCAAAGAAAAATCCCAGCCTTGATAAAACTGGTCAAAAGTAGGGGGTTTCGGTCTACTGAAGGCTGGGTTGATGGTTCATCACTGCATGAAGAATAAGCTTTGGAGAAAACATCAGCCAACCAACAAGGCAGCCCTGCTCTCAAATGGTCAACCTCCTTAGGACACCAGTAGTGGCAGCAGGTATACATGAGGACAACCTGAAAGCAGGCAGTCCTTAGGAAGGGAGGAGCAGGATGGGAAAGTGACTAAATTATAATAATTTCCCAAAGTCACTTTATTTAGAGGAAAAACAAAGAGGAATATACGGTAATTGATAAAAGTGAGGTAGCCTCAAGTAGCCTAGTCCCATAAGCTGGGGACAATTTCTTGTTGCTCTAGAATATGAAAGTAACAATTAATTCATTACTCATTTAATAAACATTTTTTGAGTGCCAACTACGTGCCAGGCAGTGTCATGTGCTAAGGATACCTTGATGAATAAGACAGGCATGATCCCCAACCTCAATGTATAGAGACAATCCCACCTCAAATTCTCTGGGAGAAGAGATCAACTCAAGCAAGAAATAGGTTATAGAGATATGTTCTCACTGCTATGGTAGCAATGAGAAGGGATCAAGCAACTAGGAGAGTTTTGGGGGCTTCATTGTAGGTAATATAAAATCTAGCTTTGAAGAATAGCTAGGTGCATGCCAAGTGGAGAAGAGGAGAAAGGTAGGGCCAGCAGAGTGCATGTGAACTTGCATGTGCAAGCAAACCATGAAAAGCATGATACATTGAAGAAATGATGTGTAAGAAATTCTGTATAGCTGGCGAGTACATGTGCATGGTGGGAAGTTGCAGAAGATATGACTGTTGTTATGTGTTATGAGATAGCAAAGAGCCTTAAATGTCAATTAAGGGGTTGGACAGTTGGGTGTTATGACAAGAGGGTTAAGAAGAGTGGTGACATGATATTTGTGGTTTTAGAGGAAAAATGGCCATGGGGGGGGAGCAGAACGGGTAAAGGGACATGAAAATCAACTACAATGTATATTGAGAAGTTAAAATAAAATAAAGTAAATTTAAAAATGGCCATTTATAAGCCCTTTGTCTGACTTTCAGTTCTGGACAAAGATGGAGTAGATACACTTTTCCCTATTCTTCTTGATAAGTACCACTAAAAACTCTGGGCATTATATATAAAACAAACATAAGAAAGCTCTGGAAAAAGTGGAGAAAAGGTAGATTAGTTAGGGACCTCAAGATCTGAGGACAAACACAGTAGTGAGTTATCTGAGTTTGCATTTTGCTTCATATATCCTGGACTGGGGGCTGGAAAAGCCAGCAATCCAGAAAGACCAATGGCACAGACAAAAAAAGAAAAAAAAAAAAAAAAAGCAGCAACCAAAGCTGGCTCTATCTAACCAAAGGACTAAGGAAGGGGCAGCCTAGTAGTAATGACCCTACTCCAACCAAACACCACAGAAAACACTACAGCTCCACCTTCCTCCTATCAGTAAAGGGCAAG